AATATATTCTCAACATTGCTGCCAGGTGCTACTGCGAAAGTTGAACCTCCCCCAGGAAAGACAGTTGAGGATGGACTGGAAGTTAAAGTCGCTTTTAATGGAAAATGGAAAGATTCTCTGCAAGAGTTATCTGGAGGTGTGGTAGAGAGCTAATATTAGCCGGCTTTTTTTGCGCTTTTCTTTCGATGTTCCTCCCTGAAAAAAACTTGTTCGAATCTAATATAGTCTCAAGAAGTTTAGCAGAAGCATGGTCAAAGCCACCAATTTATGCATTTAAAGTTGTTCGTCTTTTTATAAAAGAATACCATGTTTGACGGCCGTAATACTTAATGTAACATCATAAGGAAATTCTTTAAACACAAACACTAAATGAAAAGTGCGAAATTTTTTGTGTCATTCTGACCTTTCTACGTTTTTTAAGATACTGTCGTAACTTTTTTTGAGCAACGTGGGACTCCTTGTTTTTGCTCGACTGAGAAAATGCAGGTAGTATTGGTGACACTATCAAACCATTATGAAACGCTTAGAAATGCTACAGACAGAGGTTAACGAGATGGTCACTTTTTGAGTTTTTCTGTTGTTCACCTAGAAATTGAAATTGCCCTCTTGAAACATCACTGCTCGTCATACTGACGTGACTCAAAATATCGAGTGTGCGGCAGCTATTCCAAGCTGTTCATATTTCAAAAGATTGTTATAAAAGTCACTGTTACCATTGGATATGTCAATAATGATCGCTGGTGTATTTCGGTTCCCTTGTTCGCAAGTAATTGTCCTTAAGAATTGAGAATTTGAATTTAAATTTCTGTGCAATTTTCTGGAGCTAGCCTCAAAGCTGCTGTGTGGTTGAGATAGGAGGCCCGAGTCTGCACTTTCCTTTTTCTGAGCTCCTGTGTGCTAGATGTTTGGGGGAATTGAACATTGGGTTAATATCATGGAGGGCAGCTAAGCGAGTATTGTAAGGCCATTGCTTTACAAATATGCCTTTTTGATAGCGAAAATCTCTCTGCATTCGGCAGAAGTGGACTTTTGTTGTTTGTTTTAATAGTTTTTGTGAGAATTTGAATGGGAACTGTTGGGGCAACTACCTAATAAATGAATTGAGTTTCGTTCAAGTTGGTCGCTTTCCTTAAAGTGTTTTTTCTTCCAAGATCAATCTAGATTTTCAGGACAACGCTCTCTTGTTGCCTTGTCGCTAGTACTTGCAATGCTAAAATTCCGTCCTGCTCCCATCTACATTTTGGATGAAGTCGATGCAGCCTTAGACTTGTCACATACGCAGAACATTGGACATATGATTAAGAAGCATTTTACAACTAGCCAGGTGAGAATTTTATAGAATAGCGTTTTTTTGTTTTCCGAGCACTTGGGACGAATTATGCTCTGAGACGTATTTTGCAGTTTATCATCGTGTCACTGAAGGAGGGTATGTTTAATCACGCAAATGTGCTTTACCGCACGAAATTCTGCGACGGAACTTCGCAAGTTACTC